GCTACAATGTTATTTTGGCTAATTTATGCGTGGATACACATCAGTGATATTCAAACACACTAAACCAGATAATGTACTCTTGACACAACAAAAGCATTTCCTTCATAAATCTTTATAAATATTTTATAAATTTCAATGGCTGTTGAATTAAATAGCCAATCAACGAACACAGTGCGCAACAACGTCAATTGAAAACAGTCCATTGTTATTCAATCAGCCAATAGAAATCTTTCCGTTCAGTTTGAATTGTGAAATTTATAAATAATCATGAAGATGAAGGGAATACCTTTGTTGCTCCATGAGAAAAATCACACAATATGGAAAAATAATCATTGTTAGTTTTACCCCGGTAGAACAGGTACTATAAAGTACATTATTTTCAATTTATTTTATCTCTGAAGGGGTGAATCAGAGAAATTACATTTTTTTTTGTTTTCTTTTACATTCAACTCATCAAAATTCAGCGAAATAATATCATACAAAACAGACAAAATGTCTTTTCAGTGAACATACCAATCAAATTACTAGTATTCATATAATCACACATTTTGGCAAACTAATCGATGTACCAAATTGATATTTTGAGTACATTCACTGGGTTTTAAATTCAAGAATTGGCTGAGAAACACTGTGTTTCATTGTTAATTGATATGTTAATGTGACTTTTCTATTTTAATTTAATGTATAGGCATAGATCTGCTCTAGGGTTTATGGTACATGTCCACATCTGACTTGTAGGCTTTCCAGGACGCTTTGTGTCAGATCAGCTTGGGTGCAAGTATTACCGGTACTGTCAAATCTGCTTTAGAAGCCGCAACTTCTATTAAAATGATGCAATGCAACAGAAGAGTGCGGCTTCTATTAAAGCATCTATACATATGAGAAATGATGAATTGTTGGTTCTTAATCATTCAAAATGAATATGTGCGACTTCTATTAGAGATGTGGCTTCTTTAGAAATTTAACACCAGTAGTCATGCAAACACACATGCTCATCCCAAGTCAAGCCATGTATCTCCTCTGATCAGTTTTCCAGAACATGCATCATTCAGTCAATCTTTTTCTGGGATCTTTCATTTTTAGTTTCACCTATATACCGTTATCATAAAACATTGTTTGATAAATGTTTGACCAAATGCTCACAAGTTATAGTAATAACTGAACCCATCTGAAACCGTGTCTGTTCTTTTGATTAACTGTCACATAGGCAGGTATGTAACTATATTGCACACAACAAAGTCACTCATCCTAGCGGCTGACATAGAAAGTAAAGAAAGTAAGAACAGACAGGGTGAATGATAGACTTAAGAAAACAAAAACATGCAACTTCTGTCCAGACAAAAGAAAATCCAACTTCCTGTGTTTAACTGGTTATAATCTCCAGCACAGTTAATCTCATTAATGTATATACCGTTTTAGTTGTTATCTTTTGATGTTTTTTATGTTAGATAAGTTATATGCTGTGCCAATAAACGTTTCATTATAACTATAGTTACATGTTACCCACAGTTACCAAGTCCTTTTTTTCCTAAAGGTATAGGGATAAATAGTATGTCAATTTCAAAATAAGCATGGCCGACACGAACTGATACGAAACGTAAACTTAATGATGAATAAATGCATTCACGGAAGTACTAGTAATTATTTAACCAACGTTAGTCACACAGTTTCTTGTAGAAACCAAACTAAAAAAAACGCTAACGTGTAACGCCGTACTAACGCCTTTGTTCGCCAATGACATGGTGGTGAACATTCTCACACTGACAGTGGGGACTCGTGCAATGCAATAAACATCGAGGTAAATAGAGCCAAGCAATAACAGTCTTTACATCGAGTTGATCGCCCTCTGAGTCTGGTCATGTCACCGGCTGCGCTCGACTCATACAGAGTCGATCTTGCATCATTGTAACGCATCATTGTTTTTTAAAATTGAATACCAACCTGAATTTTAAATCGGCATTATCTTCACTAATTCAGTTATCGGTTCATAATGGTGATATCTGCCGAAAGTGAACACGTCGATTAGTTTATTTACTGTATTGTTTTGTTGCTACCATCCAACACTCACCCAACATGGCGTCTGATTTGCATAAATCCTGACAGCCGACTTCCTGTTTATTTTTGTTTACAGGCCTAGAAAAGTGTAAAAATAAGAACTAATCTTTCTAAAGTTAGAAAAACGTAACAATGACAAAAAATTATAGACAACCTAGAACATAAGCAACATAATTTTAAAATTTATTTTCTTGGGGATGAGAGAGAGAGAAAAACGAAACAATTGTGTCAAATGGACGTTGGGTTAACCTCGATCCATATATTTATAAATTATTACAAATTATATAGAATATTTCAGGAACATTTTAGTTTAAATCTGTAACCTAAATTTTTTATACATAAAATATATTATGAACATTTAATATCACTCAACAATTAGTGATATTAGCAATAATAATATGCTTTATACTAATAATCTGCGAACGAGGTAAATCATAAGCAAGAGTGAGTTGGAACCTCTCATGCTTGCGAAGATTTCAAGAACGTTGTCACGTTGAGGGATTGCTACAACTGCTTGCTCTCCTGATATTCCATAGTCACTAAGAACCTGTACATAAAGCCAGGTAAAGCATTTTTCAAAGTGTGTGTCGACACTGTCAAGTAATAATTCAAGGCGCGGATCGGGGGTTTCCACTCTCGGTATGACGCGAATGCCTAATTTAGATCATTAGTCATAATCGGCTTTCACACAAATACGCGTGTCCA